GATAGAGGGAAAAAGAAGTAGAGAGTGTATGGCATTAAAAATTATGCTTATTAATGTTATGCGTATTCTTGCTCTAATTCCTCCTCTACCACTTCACGGTATTCGGTGGTAATAACTAAGTGGTTTCTATCTAGTATGAAGATCAACTCAAAGGGATGGACGCTACCATCCAGCAATAGATCACTTAAATTAGCGAGTATGCGAGACTTAGTTATAGAGAGTTATAGAGTTGATAAAGAACCTCTAACTACCTTTTGTCCGTCATGTTAACCCTCCCACAATCCAACGATCGAAAGATGGTGCAAGAGATGATTATAATGAGGAATAAATTTCTTGTTTTAAAAAAAAAATTAAATTTTTTTTTGTACATTTTAACATATTTATATATTTATTTTATTTTAATTTATACCATTTTAGTTTTATTTCATAATATAACATATTTTAATAAGTTATTATTTATATTTGTTTGTTGTTACAATTACCAATAAATGGTAATTGATTAAATAATAATGATGAAGTTAGCAATGGAATAGAAAGGATAATTTACAACAAATTTATATTCGGTCGCTAAATAGTGATCGAGCTAGCAATGAGTTTGCAAGAATATTAGCAACCAAAATTTAGCGATAGACCATTTCGCCACTATTTAGCAATATATGTAAGTGAAAATAACGACGGTTAATAATAGATATGAGATGTCATGGACAAGCTGATTTAGGTTGATTTAGAGACGACAATTCAACAAAGTAACGATAAAAAAATTCATTCGTTAAAAAAATAGCAACCATCATTTTAGCAACGGATTGAATGTTGTCTCGACCTATTGCTAATTTCATATAGTGATGAATTTTTGCCAAATAACGATAGAAAAATTCGTCACTATTTAGCAAAATTTTTATACTATGTAGCAAAATTTTTGTAGTGTAAGGATGAAACTCTTAGAGTTTTCAAGGATTCATTGGTTGTGATGAAAAGGTAGTGAGGTAAATATTTTTTATGTTTATAGGGTAGCATAGTGACGGGTTCGACATGTGATTCTTCTTCTTATTCTAATAGAGACACGACTCAACTGTGGCATATGTTTTTAAGCCATATGAGTTAGAGAATGATGGTTATTTTGAGCAAATGTAGTTTGCTCTATGGTGATTATATGACATCACTCGACGTATGTGTGCATTGTATCTTTTGAAAGCAAACCGGAGTGAAGTTCCGTACTGGCACTCATTCAACAAAAGGGCATACTTGATGTTCTCTATTGGCACTCATTCGATAAAAGGGCATACTTGATTACATTCACTTGGATTTATGAGCAAAGGTAGTACACTTTATTTTCTAACATTTATTGATGATTACTCTTAGAAGGTTTGGGTTCATTTAATTAAATATAAGAGCGATATTTTTAAAACTTTGAAAAAATAAGAAGTTCTAGTTGAGAACCAAATAAAGTAGAAGATTAAACAACTCTAAATAGATAATGATATAGAATTTTATGGTGGTAATTTTAATTAGTTTTATATAAACTTAGGGATCGTTTGGCATCATACGATCATACATATTCCTAAAAAAATAGGATTGAAAAGTGTATGAACAAGACTTTGATAGAAAGAGCTAGATGTATGCTCTTAAATTCTAGATTAGAAAAGGATTTTTAGACTGAAGCGAGTCAATACGACTTGTTATCTTGTGAACCACTCTCCTTTTATTGTCATTGATCGTAATAGTGATTTTCAAATTTTAAAATATTTGAATGCCTTGCTTATTATCATGTTAAAGAAGATAAGTTTGAATCTAAAGCAAAGAAATACATATTTATTGATTATGTTGATGTGATGAAATGTTATCATTTATGGTGCTTTAAACCTAACTTGTCTAAATTTGTTATTATTAGAGATATTACTTTTAATGAAACATCTATGCTTGATAAAGGAAAGATTTCTTATGAGTACTGTAGAAAAAGATGAGAAAGTCATTGGTAAGGTAAAGTTTTAGGTAAAGCTTAATAGAGAAACTTTTTAAAAGTCATTTCTAGATGTTTCTCTTGTAGTTGCAAATAAGCAACTCGATTCAAATATGAATGATGGTGCCACGGAACCTGAATAAACTTATTCAATAGCTATAAAGAATGCAAAAAGACATATTAAACCTTTTTAAGAATATGGTTATGCTAAAATAGTGGCTTATACCCTCATAAGAGCTTAGTTGATTGGTATTTAAAAGCATTCTATATATACGGAGGTCGGCACTTATGGTGAATCTACTCAATGAGCCATTGCAATGATAGAAGAACTTGAGTCATTTTATACAATCAAACTTAGGATTTTGGTGAAATTACCTAAGGATAACGGAGTCATTAGAAGTAAATTGGTCTTTAAGAAAAAGGAAGGAATACTAAGGGTTGAAGATGACAGATTCAAGACATGTTTGGTGGCTAAATGTTATATCAAGAAGGAGGGAATTGGCTATAATTAAGTGTTTTCTCCATTTGTGAAACATACCACTATTCGTGCGTTATTTAATATGGTTGCTCAATTTTGTTTAGAGCTTGATGTGAAAATAAATGTTTACACAATGAGCTTGATGAGACTATATATATGTCTCAACCGGAAGAATATTTTATGATAGAGAAAGAAGACCATGTTTTCATATTCAAGAAATCTTTATATGGCTTGAAATAATCTCTAAGGTAGTGGTACAAGACGTTTGATAGCTTTATGCTTAGTCATAGGTATTTGAGATTTATTTATGATAGTTATATGTACTACAACTAGTTGGAAGATGTTTTTTTATGTATCTTTTGTTATATGTTGATGACATACTTACTACTACTAAGAATAAATTAGAAATTCAAGTTCTAAATAAACAAGTCAATGATAAGTTTGAGATGAAGGATATAGGTGCATCAAAGAAGATCTTAGGGATAAAGATTTGGAGAGACAAAAAGATTGGATAATTAAATCTTTTACAAAAAGGGATATATTGATAAAGTACTTGAGCATTTTAGTATGCAAAAGGCCAAATCTATTAATACTTATTTGGCTTCTTACTTTAGGCTTTCAACTTTACATTCTCCTTAAAGTAAAGCTAAAGAGAAGGAAATGTCTTGAGTCCTATATTTTAGTGTAGTTGGAAGCATTATGTATGCTATGATTTGGGCCTATCAAGACATTGCCTATGTAGTCATTATTGTGAGGAGATATATAGTTCATCCAAAAAAGTGCCGAAATATATTCTTAAATATCTCAAAAGTACCACAAACTTAGGTTTAGTCTTTGACAAAAGTAGTGCTTCGGGAACTTTGATTGTAGGTTTTGTGGATTCTAACTATATAAGTGATCTCGATAAAAGAAGATCTTTGACAAGTTATATCTTTTCACTTTATGTCTACTAGTAAGACAGAGTATATGGCAACGATTGAAGCGGTGAAAGTGGCTATTTGGTTGAGAAACCGTGTGGATAAGCTTGGGCTTCAACAAGAAGCAAATTGAGTTGTCTTTTGTGACAACAAAGTGCAATACATTTGACCAAAAATCAAGTACATCACAAGAGGTTCAAGCACATTGACATCATGTTTCATTTTATTGGTAAGACAATTTTTTAGATGAACATTATGGTGAAAAAGGTTAATATTACGGACAATCCAGTTGATATGTTTTTTATACTTGTTTCAACCAACAAGTTCAAGCACTACTTGAATTTGGGTGGCATTCGAAATTGATTGGTGACCCTATTTTAAGGCATTAGTGGTAAGAGATAAGTTCACTATTTTTTTTTTTAAGTTGATAATTTTTAATTTCATATTTCATATTTCTTATTTCTTACACTCGAGTTAGCTTACGTAAGCTTAAAGATGTGCCTTGAGAAAATGTTCAACTTCTTGAAGATTTGAGAAATTCAAGCTAAGATAGAGATTGTTAAATATGTTTTGAATTTTATGATGGGTCAACCCATTTAGGCATTGCCCACTATGACATATTTTTTAGCCCATTAGTGTTTTTTTTTTTTTTCATACTTAAGACATTTAAACCACTTGCTTTCTCTTTTTGAATTGTGAGAAAAGTACAGATTTAGTTTTGAGCCATTATATAAGATGTTCTTGTATTCACTCTTTTATCATCTAGTGAAAACTTCTCTTCTAGCCTGTAGATATTTATTGCTTTGATTGAACCATGTAAACGTTTATCTAGGTTATTCTTTGTTTTTAATTTATTTGATTTGTTATTACTTGTTTATTTTGTTGTTTGCTACGACAGAATCCATACATCATCACTAAGGTTCATTCATTTTTTATACACGCATTACATTATTAATATGGGTTAATTTATGGATGAATTCATATATAGACCAAGTATATAATTTCTTCGTTAATCCATGTAAACCTAAGATGCCAACCCAAAAAACCATTTGAGGTTTACAAAACATAATAAATAAATAAATAAGTGAAAATTATAAAGAAGGGTTAAAGGGATAGTTTTTTAGAGGTAATAATATTTAATCCGATAAAAATAGGTAATAATTAAAATCGGTCGCATATATTACTAGAATTTGTCCAGCAACAAATTAACACAATTTTATACCTTGGTTGTTTGGGCCAATGTATAAAGAATTTGAAATTAAATCCCTAAACCAAATCGTGCATATAAATGAAGAGAAATTATTAGATACTTTCGTGTATTATTTTTCCAATTACATGAAAATGAGATTAATGAATAATTATTATGATAGGTTCTATTTTTTATATGAGTAAAAATAGTATATATAGCGCAAATACGTAATAATCTCTTCGTAAATTAATGCTATTACAATAATCAATTTGTTTTTCGAGAGGTAGCAATGGCCTCTCTGCTACTCGTTCCATCCCATACTCATCGTAAAACTATTACTACCTGTTTTGAGTCCTAATTTAAATTAATGATATTTCTCATAAATCGATCTGAATAAGCTTGCTTAATACCTGAAAAAAAAAAAAAAAAAAAAAACTTAGTCTTAGGATAAAAAGCTGATCACAATTCTGTGCATGTGTCTCCATGCAATAGTCCTTGGACCCACATTTCAACTGTGCACGTATCTCCATAATCCTCCACCTTGCACTTTTGACGTTCAGTTGAAAATGGCTGACCCCATAAACATTGTTCTCCAGTTAATTCAGGCAATCCAACCTTATCTTCTATGGTCTGATTTTCGTTGATTGTGAGATCATTCACAAGATTAAAGCTTGAAGAAAAATTAGCTGTAGGCAGCTTTGGTAATCCCTCGGAGTCTTCTGACTTCAATAGTTTTGGAGCAGTGGGAAGTGGAACATAAATTTTAGATAATTTTCTTTTCTTGGATTCTACTTTGGATCAGGAGCTTGCACTGCAATGTTAATATTTTTCTTCGAGTGTTCCAGAAATGTTTTATCTCATTATCTGTTCTTCCTGGTAATTTTGCAGCCATTGCACACCATCTGAGACAGGTGAAAGAGAGTAAAATCATTGATCTTGTGTGGAATAAATGAGTTGTTATTCTTTTTTACGATCAAGCAAACAAAAATCTAGAAATACATCATAGCAAAAGTAACTTTTAATCAGTAGTATATATGGTGAGAATTTTGCACCAGCTGTGCTGGAACAATATTACATAAAAGTTTAAGATGTTGTCTCAGACTCCAAAAGAGTCAAATCCACTCCATGTCTCCGCACTTTACTGAAAATATTATTGCAACCCTTCTATCCAAATATAACAAATCTTATATCATTAGACATCGATACAAATCAGCCTCTTTATTAAATTTTTCCATCTATTGACTAATATTTTTACTTTTTCTATCCATTGACTAATTTTTTTAGTTCACTAATATTTGAGTAACTAAGTGGCAACAAGTGTCAACTTAAAATAAAAATTCAATTTTCTTTTAAAACAATTTTTCTATTTTTTTAAAGCTAAAATAATTAATAATTATTATAAAATCATTACAAATTGAAAAATTTTCTAAAAGAAATTTTTTATAATAATCAAAATTTTGTATGATTTTATAATAATTAACGATGAAGAAAATTTAAAAAAATATATATATAAAGAAAAAATTTTCAATTTTCAATTTTTTATAATAACAATTAATAAAAAGTTTTTAAAAAATATATATAAATATTTTCTTTTCAATTTTATAATAATCACAACTAAAAAACATTTAAAAAAGATCTAAATAAATTTTTAATGATTATTAATTATTTTAATAAAAAATTTTGAAAAAAAAATTGATTATTATTTTTTTCAATTTTTTTTAAAAAAATTTTCTTTAGATTTTTTTTTTGAAAAATTCTTTATCAATAATTATTGTAAAATCAATAAAATTTCTTTAGATTTTTTTGTAAAAAAATTATTTATTAGTCCTTATTATAAAATCATTAAAAATTGAAAACATAATTTCCTTAGATTTTTTAAATTATTTTATGCTAATTATTATAAATCCATTAATTATTAAAAAAAAAATCTGATTATGCTAAAAATTTCTTTATAGTTTTTTTTTTGAATTATTTTATATTAAATTTTAATTATTTTTACTTAAAAATTTGAAAAAAAGGATTTTTTTATAAAAAAAGTTATATTCTTATCCTTAAGTTGAGATACGTTTTAGTTAGACGTTAATCAACTAATAAAAATTAGTCAATTTAATAAAAAAATTAACTGAATGACTATTTTATATCAATGTTTAATAGTATAAAGTTTGTTACGAACTATACTTACATAGAGAGATTGCTACAGTATTTTCGATATAATATAAGGCCACAAAGTATGTTAAACCAGATTTCAAAAATGTTTTTGTGTTATTTTCTAACTCACTTCTAGACATCCTCTTAAATAAAAATCTTTTGATTTTGAAATTTATACAAAATTACTATTAATTTGTGATTAATTTTTAATTAGAAGAGAAGATAAAGTGGTGAAATTTGTGACCGTTAAGTTTTTAAGGTTATTGTATAACATTAAAAAACTTTTTCAACTTAATTGTTCAAGGAATCACCCAAGATAGAACAGCAGGGAATGGAATTGGAGAAACAAACGGTGCCTTTGCAAGGATTACCTATCATTTAGATTACTTAACTTATCTATTTCTAAGAAATTTCATGGAGCTTGAGTATGGTTTCCACTTCTTCCATGCTGAAAGTTTCCAAGCTTTATATCCGGCCTTAAGTAGTTCATCCAACGAAACCTGCAACACTTTCCTGATCTTAACAAACCTAATCAAAGTGGAGAAAAAAATAAAGAAATGAATGTTAACCTTACTATCGTCATTTTCTTTGGTAACATATTTGGAATTCAACTAAACATTAGTACTGCTTGTTTCTTACCAGAAGCTTCCGGCATTTCTATCCAATTCCAAATGCCATGCCTGTTACTTGGATCTTCTTCGGGACTCCATGCCCCTCTTTTCATCAATAATCAAACCTTAAAACTTTCCCATATATAAGTTGGAGGTTCTGCAAAATACACTAACCCTCCTGTCAGTTGATCTCCTTCATAATGAAGAGCTGCCATTGCAATTGCAAGTTTGCAACAACGAAAAAAACCTATTTCAGATTGATACTGGAAAAATTAAAATCATAGGTCCCGAAGTAAACATTCGCTGAAAACCTATGGGTAAAATATGCATTATCCTTAATTTTACTTTTGCTACCAAAATGATCCAAATAATACAAAAATGTGGAATTTATAGAAATTTTTATCTTTCACAATATGACACCGAGGTTTGAATCCCAGTAATCAAGGAAAGAAACCATAGGCAAACCCCTTAATTTATCATCTACATATTTTGATCGAGGCAACATCTAAATACCATAGTGCTCATACATGTCCCAAATTTATTAGTAATATGCCTAGTGAAAAACTAGCTAGTAGGCCATATTAAAAATGGCGAAAATATACCCTATACTTAGATTTCATACAATTGTGCTTGCATCAAACAATCCATCCAAAAATTTTCGCCAGCATCAAAATTTGGGGAAGCATTTGGATAGTACAACAACTCTTGGATCCACATTTCATCTGTGTATGTTTCCCCATAATCATCCACCTTGCACATTTGACCTTCAATTGAAAATGGCTCCCCCACAAACGAAATTCTCCAAAAGATTCAAGTAATCCAGGATTCTCCTCCTCCAGACCAGACGAGTTCTGGCTTTCGTTGAAGTCACTCACAAAACTAGAGCTTGATGAGAAATTAGAAGCAGACTGAATTGGTGACATGGGGAACCCCTTGGAGGAGTACTCTTCTGAATTCAATATTTTTGGAGCAGTGAGAAGTGAAGCATCAATATTGTCAGATGATTTCCTTTTCTTGGATTCTTCTTTAGATAGTGGCACTCCTTGCACTTTAGGTGCTTGCACTGCAGTATTAATGATGTTGTTGTACATGCGGTTCTTCAAGTGGGTGTTCCAGTAATTTTTTATATCATTATCTGTTCTTCCAGGCAATTTTTCTGCGATTGCAGACCATCTGAGACAGGTAAAAGAAAGAAATTACTAGGGTTGATATTATATATGTAGACAATCAAAGTCAATATCTCCTAGACTGATATCATGAAAAGCTATTATGGATCTTTTAAGAGTTTCACTTCTTCTAGTTTTAAATGGTTTTACGTTTTCATATATAGCTTTTGATGATATCAATCTCATACTGAGTAAGGGGTCAAAAGAGTACTACCAGTAGCTGATGGATTACTGGAGCTGTATTTCTCTTCTAAAGAGCAGAAATGATGGAATGCTTCGAAATCAAAGAAAGTTCGCGATGAAATGGTAGTTTATAATAATATTTATGGACATGAAACCTAAGGTTTACTAATGGAAACTTAAGAAAGAAATAATGCCTTAGCTACCAAAGATTATCCATATTTTAGGGTAAAATTACCTATTTCCTAACTTTTCATGCTGCTTGATTATTGTCCGCACTTCTTCCTTGCTAAACTTTCCACGCTTTATATCCGGCCTTAGATATTTCATCCAACGAAGCCTGCAACTCTTCCCTGACCTTAACAAACCTAGGATTGGAAGGAAAAAAGAAAAAAGAAAAAAGTAAGAAATCATAGCAGTCCTATTTTCCCTGCATTTTGATTGTATATGAAATATTTAGAATTCAAGCACTAATCATTAGTAATATAATTAATTATTAATTACCAGCAGCTTGCGGCATCTCATTCCAATTACAAATGCCACGTCTGTTAATATAAGCTCTCAACTTATGATCTTCATCAGGACTCCATGTCCCTCTTTTCAAACACAAATTCTGTGAAATTCTTCTCATCGTCTCAGACCGTGAGAATCTATTTCTAGACTTCACTTCCTCTGCCTTAAAACACCATACAGTAGCCATTGCCGTACTGTACCCTATAAAATGTTCGGCTGGAAAAAACGACTTTCAAATTTCCATAGTTCCCATACCCACTATATATGTGTGTCAGTGTGTGTGTGTAGGGTCCTTCCTTGAACATTCCGTAATACAATGCTATTGGTTTGTGACCGTATAAATAAATTAAACCGCGTGGTTACTAGATTGACGAGTTCAATAGAAAGAATACGCAAAAAGAATAAAGTAAAGTACTCACTAGCAAAATTGGTTTCAAGTCTTTTAATATATTAAAATTCAGTTAAGATTCTGTATTGATCATTCTGATTTTACGATTCAATTTTGGTTAGTTATATTAAGCTCAATCAATTAAACATCTATATATAAATTTCTTTTTTTATTCTCACAAATAAACTAATGCTCTTCTACAAATATAAACTTTTTAATTTGATTATACTAAGCTAGCAAGCTGAGACTTACTAGTGGAGGAGTAAATTATAATTTTTTTCCAAGAAATGAATTAATTAGCTTTTCTTATTTCAAAAACTACTTAATTATTTTCTTAGAATAATGTTGATGATACTTGATTTAATATTATTTTTTTAAAAAAAAATTACTACTATGTATATATTGTTACAATTGGGTGAATTCCCAAGGTTCATAGTAAAATACTATGGCAATAATATTTTCTACAGTTAAACATAAACATTAAAAAAAAATAGTCTTTTATTGACAAAAGAGATTGTTATTGAAAAACTATTAGATAAGGTCTCAAGATATAATTAATTTTTATAAACTCACACTATCTTGTATTTAATTAATTAAAAGAGAAATGAAGGTGGTGAGATTCGTACTCGTCTTATGACCATTTGGTTTTCAAAGTTCGATACCATATCAAAAGACCATCTTAATCCAAAAACTTAGGTTGTAGTGAGATCTTAAGATATGATTTATATCATTTTTTAATAAATATGACATTATAAGTGGTTTTTCTAATTCTTTAATTACTATTATAACAATGGCTAAATTTATATTCTTTTCGGTTCTCAAACATGTGTTCGTTATTTTTTCTTTAATCTATCATGGAACTCCTTGTAAATACTAAAACAAAATTTGTTTATTATTAGATGCCTAAGGTGAATTTATTTAAGTAATTTTGCCTTTCTGCTGGATGTTTTGTTAAATGATAACAAATTTGATTAAAGAAATTCACATAATTGATCTACTGATTAAGGAGGTATGATTTCAGGTGCCATTTTTTTTTAACTTTAGAATCAATATTCAATTTTTTTTAATTAAATAATCTAAATACACTAAATCGATAATTTTTAAGATTATATATAAAAATAATAATCTCACTTAAAGCACAAATTAATATCTTTCACCTATCAGAAAAAAAATAAAAATAGATTAAACAACAAAAAATGTAAAAAAGCTTGCAATGCTTCCCTAGCCTTAACAAACCTAAAACTCGATGGTTTGGAATTCTCCGATCACATCAATTGTATGGCATTCGGCTAGGATAGTCATCACTATTTTGCTTCTACTCTGAAATATCTGGAATCCAACTACTCGTTATTAATTGTTTTTAATTCCATGTCTCGGTATATGTAAGATAGTATAGAAGATTCTGATATAGTTACTTGGAATTTTTTTTCATGGTCTCATGACCCTTGAGAATTTATGTCTAGAATACAGGTTTTAGCTGAAAACAGCTGGAGTCTTGTCTTGACTTCCATATTTAACATGCTTTTGTAGTGGGAAAACGTGTTTCAAAGTTCAAAATTTCAAATCGTTTCAAAGACTTGTAAAGAGCCATGCAAGTGCATACAATCTATCCTGGATTATATGTAAAATTGATTCATACAATTAAATATTTTTATAGGTTGTGACTTATTGGCAAGATGACTAGCTTTATTGGAATGAAATAGGAAAAGACTAGAAGTCAAAGCCACGAGGTAAAATAGGACTAAGTTCATTTTAAAAGGTATCTTCATATATAACATCTGAACGTAAGAAATTAAGGGGGCCAAGAGCTCAAGTCATTTTTTATATTACAACTTTGGAAATCAACTAGCTAGAGTGAACTAAGAGAAATTGAAGGTTAGAAATGGGAGAATATATATATATATATATATATATATATATATATATATATATATATATATATATATATATTGCAACTTTGAAAAGCTAGCCGTGTCAAGAAATTGCAAGCAGCCTAGATAGAAATAAGTACGCCTAAAGGTGTGGGCACGCGTTCCCCAGATAAGCAAATACAGAATCTTATGTTTTGATGTAAATATATAAATTAACAAAGAGTGGACAAATCATATAAGAATCACATATTATATTCTTGATTGGCTAGAATTGAAAAGTTGTCGAAAGTAAATGTATGACAGAAACAATTTCTCTAGTTCAGGAACACGATGAGAAAGGGAGGGTGGGGACTGTTTTTTGGGTGCATTTTTTAGACCGTACTGTTTTTTGGTGTAGACTTGAGGGAAAAGAAAAGGAAATAATGCAATGTAGATAGCGACATAGCCGCCCATATGATGTCCTGTGATGCAACCAAATTATCGTTTTCTGATTTTAACTCTTAAACTATACGATGTTTTAATTACGTTACATTTATTCTTTCATTAAATGACATTTGAGTCATATATATATATTATGAAAACACCACCAAAAAATCAATCCTCGCTCTCTTTTTTTTTTTTTCTTTTCTTCTCTCTCTCTCTCTCTTTTACTTGTTTATGGATATATGATTTTTGGGAAAACAAGTTACATGTGATATTTAAATATTAAAATGGATGGAACATAATTTAATGAATGTGATTCAAAATTTCTGTAATAACCCAAATTTTGGATTATATATTTTCCTTCAATTTTATCTCTTTTAGGTTTTTATTTTTTTTATTATCCTCTTCAATTTATTTGTTTTATTTGTTTCTTATTATTATTATTATTATTATTTCATTTCATTTTATTTAATTTTGGTATTTACCACGAAAAAATGGACAAGAATAATAGATATATAAGTTACTTACAAGTTACATGTGATATTTAAATATTAAAATGGATGGAACATAATTTAATGAATGTGATTCAAAATTTCTTTCATAACCCAAATTTTGGGTTATATATTTTCCTTCAATTTTATCTCTTTTAGGTTTTTATTTTTTTTACTATCCTCTTCAATTTATTTGTTTTATTTGTTTCTTATTATTATTATTATTATTATTATTATTTCATTTCATTTCATTTTATTTAATTTTGGTATTTACTACGAAAAAATGGACAAGAATAATATATATATATATAAGTTACTTACAAGTTACATGTGATATTTAAATATTAAAATGGATGGAACATAATTTAATGAATGTGATTCAAAATTTCTTTCATAACCCAAATTTTGGGTTATATATTTTCCTTCAATTTTATCTCTTTTAGGTTTTTATTTTTTTTACTATCCTCTTCAATTTATTTGTTTTATTTTATTATTATTATTATTATTATTATTATTATTATTATTTCATTTCATTTTATTTAATTTTGGTATTTACTACGTAAAATGGACAAGAATTTTCCTAAGCCTATTTTTAGCCATTTTCCCGGATAAATCGGTTCTAAATTTTTAATACATGCCTTTTATTTTATGCTTAGTTTAGATTTAATATTTTGAATTTTTGAGTCTTGTATTTATTTTTTTATTTAATCAATGTTTTGATATTTAGATTAGATAATTAAAGATGGTTGAGTCGTTAAGTCTCATAATTTTTTAGAACCGATAGCAATTCCCCACCAACCAGAAAACATACAAAAAAATTGATAAAAAAAAGAAAAGAAAATGATAAAGGAAAATGATAAAGGGGGAAGGGAGAGAGAGAGAGAGAATGTTAGGTGAAAATAAAAAAAAAATGATTAAAAAGAGAGAAAAAGAAAAAAAAGGATAGAAAATACTATGTTTGAAATTAAAAAAGTCTCATACTCAATAGAGATTGATGTTAGCCCAAAAGGATCACATTTTAGTAATTAAGTCTTTCTTCGACGTATCGTTATATTGAGACTTAACTCTGGATTCAATATTAAATTGATGAGACTCCCAACAATGGAGTCGGATAATCAATTCAATACAATGCTATAAATAAAAATAAAAAATTTATTTTGGCTTAGAAAAGAAAACATAGAATTTTGACTTAGGATCAATGTTGGCAAAAATAGAAATTTTTAAGAGATAAACTTTAGGACTAAACTAAATGTGGAATCTTTTCTACGAAAAGATACTTTGGGTGATTGACATATTTTCAAAGACATAACTAACTCCTTACCTTAGAATCTTTGAATTAGTATCCATTTTAGGTTCCTAATTACCTTTAATACTAGGTAGCGACTTTGAAATTAATAATAACTCATATCCTTAAATAAATAAAATTTTTAATAAATAAACCATAAATTTTGAGAGTTCCGCGAACATTGGATAGTGACGGAATGACGACTCTACTAGAGAATTAGAGTTAGACCATATGTTTAGTCATTTTAATATATCTCTTTTATTTCTTTTTTTCATTTATTTTCCAAGTCATTTTTTTTCAAGTCACTTATTTTTGTCATTTAATTCTATGTTATTTATTCTTGTATATATTTCAAATCTTTTAATTTATGCAATTAATTTTTTAATTTTTGTACATATTTTATGATTTAGGTTGGATGTGTTTGTTTTGAATTGTTGCACACACCATGAAAAAAGCCGACAAAAGCTCGGACCTAAGCTAAAACTATATTAGCATTTAGATAAAAAAATTCAAAGGCAAGTATGATGAAAGTCTACCGATGTTAATTCGAACTCTTGTTGGATTGGAACTCACCCTATGCATGAGAAATTACGAAATAACCTTCTCATACCTCTTAGAGCATAAGGTTAGAGGTTGGATTAGCTAATCGGTAACCTAAATAGTCTAAAAACTCGAAAAGCCTTTAGAATTAGACAAATTTTGTCTAAACTATAGAAAAGCTAAATCCTA